AGTATAGTTTAATCCAGGGTATAGTTTAATCCAGAGTATAGTTTAATCCAGGGTATAGGATTATGGAATGGTCTGGAAGGTGATCTTTAAAATACCAGATGTATGTATATATTTAGGAGACAGATAAAAACAAGTTTTTGGAAGAAATATGAAAAGTTAAATGTGAAGCTATTTGAAAGGAAAAAAAGCCTGAATTTAGCCTGAAACTCTCAGACTGAAGAAGTCTCTTGGAGGAGAGACGAAACGTTTCATTAGAGAAGAACCCGTCCAGAAGACCTATACAACTTTTTTCTTTTTGATTTTTTACCTGGATTACTGAGATGCATCAGGACACAAAAGCTGGATTTTCTCACTCGTAAATTTCTCTGTTTGTAGCAAATGTTTCGTATGTTTTACTGCTACCAAAAGCCACAGCTCCTGATTGAGCCTGATGTTTTGTGAAACAGGTGAAAACGTGTGAACAGATCAGGAATAAGGGTGTTTCAATGCTAATGCACAAGGAGCACTAACCCTTTGCATTTAATATGGCCGAAGAAGACAGTCATGGTGACTGAATGTTTGTTCTTTAGCGTAACCAAAACAAAAGTTTGGAGTTTTTTAGGGTATTTTTGCTTATATGAGTGCAGCATCCTGTACAGTTTCACACAATCTGAAATCTAAGTCAACTCTGAGTTTCTGAAAAACAAATGCAGATACAGGAAGATGCTGACTCGGCAACTCTGATGGTTGATTTTGTTTTTTGGGGATTTTGATGTGTATTAACGACCTGACCTTACCTCGCCTCGGCTGCAGGGGTAGGAGCCTGAGTACTTGGAGGTGCAGGTGGCTCCATCCCGGCCCACGCCTGTCCTTCCTTCCTCCAGCCCAAAGGAGGCGCTACAGTTGCTGGCGTAGTACTGCAGCATCTTCCACGTTCGACCAAAGTCCTGCGAGCGCTCCAAGGTCATGGCAGCCGGCCGCGGCGAGCGAAACACCACGATGAGGTGAGTGAAGTAGAACTCCGTCTCCAGGTCCAGCTGCACCGTCTCGGACTCCACGCCTTCCGCCGACTGCCACCAGGTGTTGGGGTGGCGGAAGGAGGAGTCGGACATGGCCCCGGCCAGGTGGGCCAGGTGAGGCAGGCCGGCGTTGCATTTGGCACAAACGGGGGCGCCGCAGGCCAGGTTGGCGTCGGGGTCGGAGTACGAGCAGAAGAGCTCGGTGCCGTTGTTACCACAGACGGTCTGCGTCAGAACCCGCCGACCCAGGACCAGGTTCCCCATGCGGGGGTTGCAGGCCCGGCTCTCGCAGCGGGGGGCCACACCTGCTCGAAACACCTCCACTGAAAAACCTGCAAAAATAGACAATAAAAAAATAACAAGCAAGAATGAACCTATGACATACTTTATAAAGAAACTTGGCCTCAAACTCTTTCTTATCATAGCATTAATTTAAATAAAACGTGTCCTTTCTTATAAGAATAAATTAGTGGAATTGTATTTTTTGTAGAAATGCATTTTGAATGCTAAAAGCTAAATAGCTTTGTTGAAATTTGTTGAATGAAAAGTTAAAAGAAACCCTTAGTTAAAAGCAAAACATAACTAAAAGCTAAAACCAGTATAAAACAGTGAGTAAAAGCCATAATTAGCAAATCACTAAAAGTGAAAATTGGCAAATATTGTAGAAACTATAAACAGGAAGTGCTGACTCAATTATAATGAGACAAGAGGACAAACACTTCAGTAAACATAAAAACAACTAAGTTGAAGTCTGAGCTGGTGAAGTGAGATTACTGTGCACACAAGTCAAGTGATTTACCTCCATCGGAAACGTTATGTAAAACAGGATAATGGAGTCTTTGTGCACCTGCCTGCTGCGGACGGCAGCCAGCGTGGACTCTGACACAGATAAAAGTTTGGCAGCTTTAGAGGAGGATGAGCAGCATTCAGGCGCTCCAGGACCACGGTGTCCGGTTCCACAGTGGGTTTATTCTCCTCAACCTCTTGGTTTATTTATTGTGGGTTCTCAGGTGGGAAGACTCGTAATGTGATGAACGATTGGACCTTTGCACTTTCCCTGAAGGGTGTTTTTTTTTCCTCACAGATTGAGGAGAATTATGTGCTGTAGGTGAGGAGGTCAAGAAAGGAGGATAAAACCTTTGACCACATCGATCACTATAATGTTTTGTTACCCCAATATCTCACGAAGTACAGATTTCAATAAACCTCTTGGAGAATCATTAAAAAAATACAGATCAACTTCTGGAGATAACCTGATTCAAGATGGCCACCTGAGCCAACAAGAAAACACAAAATTTAATATGATTCAATCAGATTTACAGATATTGTGCTGAAGTTTGATGAGCTGAGAGGGTACAGTGTGCTTTAACAATAAACTGCCTGTTAGCAAAATATCTCATGAATCATGAAATGAATTATACAGAAACTTTCAGAAATGATTCATTAAATGTATCTACAGCTGATTAACTTTTTAATTGATTTGTTTGGACACTACAGATAATCGACACTAACCGGCTGTATTTACAGATATGAAGCTGGAATTCAGTGTGGTAGTAGCTGAGAGTCATCCCCAACATATACAAGTCTGACATCTCATGAAGTTGCTCATAATAGTTTTAAGGTTAATACCACGTTATAACTATTTATTGGWGATCACGTTAAATTATCCCTATAATAAATCTAGACTGGGGCTAATATGTGCACATTTACAAACACAGATCAGCTTTATGAAACAAATAAATATTAAATATTTTTTTATATTTTTACATCCAATTTTAAAGTGCTGTTTTGACCCTGAGCTGACATCTCTTACCTGCTGACAGCACGGCCAGGCTGATCACCTTCAACATCAGCATTATCTCCTGCATCATCCACAATATGAGAGGAAGGAGGGGAAAAAGAAAGAAAGAAAGAAATCTGTAGTTTATCCAGACAGCAAGTCTGCAGAGATCTCAGCCAAGACGGAGAGAGAGAGAGGGAGTCCGGGTGCTTCAGAGCCAGTGTGGACTTTCTCTTTCACTCAGCAGCGACCCAATCAGGCGGTAATAACTCAGTCGTCTGAAAGAACAACATGATCCGGACCGGTGAGTGATGTCCCGCTGACAGAGGCAGAGGAAAAGGAGGACGGTTCGGTTCGGCTCGGGACCTGCAGCAGGTTTCATTTCCCCCGCGGTGTTTGTGTGTGTGCGAGTCCCGCCGCCTGCGCGCATCTGTTTTGAGGAGCGGAGCGCACAGGGAGGCTGTGCGCGCCAGCTCCGCCTCTCTCTGTGCGCGTTAAAGAAACACGCAGATTTATGCCCTCCAATTAAAACAACAACAACAAACAACAACACTGGCCACCTTCTGCTGAACAGAAGCGCGCCACAAAGACTGGGGACCGTGGACTTTGTCAAACAAGTTCTTCATCTCAAGTTCTTCTCATAAATTATCCACGTCCACAGCCGGACCTAGAGCCCGAACTGCCCTGGGCTGAGCTGGACCACCCCAGGTGTCTGCGACTATAAATGTCATTTGATCTACTAATATACCTGCCTGGATGATTGGTGGAAGAATTATACTTTCCCTGTTTATTATGGGATGGAGATGGGTTAGTATGGAGACAATTCAATTGCAGAGTGCACAAAGTAGCTTTCGAGCTTGCATGAGTGCACAAATCAGTCCTGTGATATTTAATTCAGCTGTTCAGTCCACAAAGTTATTATTTTTTTCTTGTGGAAAAGCTACCAGAACAATACAATTTTGAATATCAATCTCAAATATGCAGTCCAAACAAGAAATGAATTATAAGGTTATTTTACGGTTAATTGATTTATTCTTCTACAAAAAAATAGTGGAAACATATATTTACAAATATATGTTTTCCAAAATTGGAATTTTTATTTATTTATTTATTTATTTATTTATTTATTTATGACTGCGTTTTCCAGGTCTTTCCAAACTTTTTGGGTCTGAGGAGATAAATTGCAGGGATTCCCTCAAAGATTTTATGTTGATTATAAATCATTTATTGCCATTTTAACCCATAAATGCCATAGTAATCATTTTTGTTTGTTTTGTTTTGTTTGAGTATGCTAGTTTTCCTGGCCTATTTGGTCCATGTAAACAGTATATACACTCTTTAAAATGAAATGACGTGACTAACAATTATTGCAATTTATTTTGGGGACCCCCCCCC